TTAAACTATGTTTTGAAGCTGCATTCCTTATTGTTAGCAATGTTGATTTGGTTGATACTTAAAAAAAACTTATTTTCTCAACCTTTAACCTTTAAAGTCCTGGAATAATTAAAGAAATCATTAGCCATTGCCACAAGTATAGAGCCAGTCCGACTTGCATTTCTGTGCAGTCAGACCAAGCTCTATACTGTTAGTAGCATTTTTTTTTTGTATTTTTATATCCAAATCCCTTGATTTTCAAATAGACTGTTCCATATCTAAAGGAGGGCAGGTCCATTTTATGAATTCATCGGGTTAAGCAGGTTTTTAACACATTGGTGATCCAATTATCATAGGTTCTATTTTCAGCCTGTAGATTTAAATATGGCCCTTGACCATTAGCCAAATCTGTTGTTTTCTTTATTCTAGGATAAAAATGAAAACTCTGGTGAAGGGTAAAAAATGTTTTCCGATCATGATTGAAAATAAACTTTTGTAACAGATTAATGATATTAACCTTTTACCCCATGAGCATATTGCAAAAAATGGCCGTTTTCATTGAAAAGCCTCCTGTAACAAGTTCAAACTGCTATGAAACTATGAAAAATGCTTCAATACTAATGAAACTTGGCACAAATGTTGACTACACCATAGCCTCTGTAACAAATTACTCAATTGTAAATTTCCTGTTACCATGGCAATGGGGGGACGTCTCAAAATTGCCAAAAATCACTATTTTGCATTGTTTTTTTCCATCAAAACTGATTTCAAAGTGCTGCAACTTCTCAAATGAATTGAGATAGAGTAAAAGGCTTTTCAGCGTCGGTTACTAGTTACCCTAAGATTGACCTGAGGCCATTTTTAGCCTGTCACATGTCCAAAATTTTCTTGACGATAAGGGGGGCACATCCCCATTCTGGCAACCCCCTGATGTAATATTTGGATGGGGGACGGTGCCGAAAAAGTGGTCACTTTTTTTAACAACATTTCTCAAACGAAAAACAGTGTTTGGGGCCTAAATAGGGCATTTCTTCACTGTTTGAGGCCTCAAAAAGGGGGGGAGGGGGCAAAAAGCTGTCGAAACACGCTTATATAAGGGAAAAGGTTAAACGCACATTAATCATTATATATAGAGAGACTCTTTTCTTTATATATAATACATTATGTTTTTGCCTTACATTACATATTTACATTATAGAAAAAGGCATACAAGATAACACCAGATAAAAACATTACATCTGGTTTTTCTTCTGACATCAAAGTTAAAAGAAAAAAGCAGAACTATTTTTTTTTGCCCTTCAGATATTAATACACAGACAGGATTTCTGCCTGGAAGAAATAGTACCTACATCTGCATTGTTTCATTCTATATGCCGAAGTGATTCAAAAATTATAAGGAAAATGAAAACCCATCTTGTTGCTGCTATTTTTACATGATTTGTATCAATTCAATATGGCATACATTTTAGGTCAGTAGGATGCTTAATTAGATAAGTATGGTGTACACAGTGGGTCAAAAGAGTTAGCACTAACATGTTATAATGTATACTTCATTGGCAAAAGTAATGATATGGTGTATCTGATGGGTCAAAAGTCAAATTGCATAATTTTGATAATACAAAACAGTACTGATGTACAACAAATTAGTATTGATGTACAGCAAAACAACACATTGGTATTGATGTACAGCAAAGCAACAAATTGGTATTGATGTACAGCAAAACAACAAATTGGTATTGATGTACAGCAAAACAACAAATTGGTATTGTTGTATAGTAAAACAACAAATTTGTATTGATATACAGCAAACCAACAAATTGGTATTGATGTACAGCAAACCAACAAATTGGTATTGATGTACAGCAAACCAACAAATTGGTATTGATGTACAGCAAAACAACAAATTGGTATTGATGTACAGCAAAACAACAAATTGGTATTGATGTACAGTAAAACAACAAATTGGTATTGATATACAGTAAAACAACAAATTGGTATTGATATACAATAAAACAACAAATTGGTATTGATGTACAGCAAACCAACAAATTGGTATTGATGTACAGCAAACCAACAAATTGGTATTGATGTACAGCAAAACAACAAATTGGTATTGATGTACAGCAAAACAACAAATTGGTATTGATGTACAGCAAAACAACAAATTGGTATTGATGTACAATAAAACGACAAATTGGTATTGATATACAGTAAAACAATAAATTGGTATTGATGTATCACAAAGCTTTATTGATATACAACAAAACAGTATTGATGTACAGCAAGACATTATTGACATATAACAAACCAATATTAATGTACAGCAAAATACTATTGATATACAACATATTAGTATAGATATACAACACACCTGTATTGATATCCAACACATCTGTATTGATATAGGGCAAAACAGTGTTATACAGTATTGATGTCCAACTAAACAGTTTGAAACACAAGGAAAAACAGTATAAAGGACCCCAAAACAGTATTGAAAAACAATAAAACAGTATTGATGAACAATAAAACAGTATTGGTACAAAAGAAATCAGTATTGATACTTTATTCTTTAGGTATCTTAATGACATTTAAATTTTATAAACAGGAAGGCATTACCTAAGAGTTATGCCATGTTAAAAATTCAGGGGAGAATGAATTTCATGGCATCATAATTATCATGAAAATGTACTAAAAAGCAGATGGCCTATTGTGTTGCTGTGTAATTTAAAAACAAGAAGCTTCTGTTTTATGTAGATTTTTGGAAGATAACCACTATCTTCATAGGGAAAAAATATCTTCAGTGAAATTATTACTATTAGGCGGAGCCATTATGATTTTTTTCTATGTGCATGAGTTTTATTTAGATTCTTTATTCTTAGACTGCAGGCATGACTGAATATATTATTGTGATAAGTGCAGACCAAAATATTTAACTAGCACATTCATGCCATCTATTCATGGCCTGCACTGTTCTCAGTATTTAGTCTGTACATAATTATCTTGAAATTGATATTTAGTTGTTACATATTTTGAAATTTTCCTTGAAAATTATCAATGGTTTGGTCCAGATTGAAAAATGGACAAGTCCATTTAAACATATTTTCATTGGTGTCCGTTATTAATTATCAGTTTAAGTCTCACATTGTATGTTAAGTTATGAGAAATTGATGAAACAAAGGCTGGACAAGATAAGATAAGTAATGGGGGGAATAGAATGAGGGCATTTCCTGATGCAGCAGCTCTATTTTTTTGGCATCATGATTTGGAAAGATTTTAAGATCAGGTAGGGACATAACTGAGGATTAACCAAAAGTCATACTGGGGCATTTTTCAGAAAGTCAAGTTAGCACTTTTTTACAGGGGTAGGGGAGGCGAGGTTTGACTCGTGTATAAATGGAAGCAAAATAAGATTCAAGTTTCTTTTTAATCTTCCATTTTGATAACCGCAATAATTTGAAAATGATCCGATATAACCGATATATGTTATCGTATTAAGATACGTCTAGCTTGAAGGAAACGAGGAAGTTATAGACTCTCCTTCCATTCCACACAGCGGAGAAAAGTTAGAACGCCATTTAATTGGTAGGGATGAAGGCAGAAAGATAGCGACTTGAAATGTTTACGCTTCTAGTGAAAAACTTGATTCATTCTGTAAACTTGTTTTAATTGATTTAATTATAGAGGCATGTTAAACTGCAAGCATGTTGTTTATATTGAAATCCAGGTGTTTGTACTAAAAGAATAATGTTTATATTTAATAAAGGTAAAACCATGGAAACGGCAGACATATATTTTTCTTGGTGCTCGGAGAAAGACAAAAGTTTTACCCAATTCACCACGTGGAACCTTTTTAATTGCGGGAAATATATAGGTTTTGATAAAACCCAGGAAGAATATTTAAAAGAAAAAATAGAAAACTTTTTTTTGTTTGTACATTGATTATCTTAATTTTAGTTGCCCAAAAGCAGGTATTCAAAGTTAATTTTCATACAAATTAAAAGTTAAAGATTTAATATAGATTTGAAAAATGTACCTTAAAAAAATTTTTATAAAATTTTTTAAAAAAAAGAGTTTTGTGTTAAAAAAAAACCCAAAATGTCCCCAAATGGCAAATATGAGATACTGGGGGCTGGGTTTTTTACAGGGAAAGCGCAAGCTAATTTAAAACCATCCTTTTGATTTGATAAAATCAGGAATTATTATATGTTAATCAAATTCCAAAATAGTAATATCAATAGTTCTTTTTAAGAAAATATACAAAAAAAAGCCATTTACAACTATAAAACAAGTTTTGCTGTTGAAAAAAGTAAAGTGAGCATGAAGACTGATTACCACAAATCCACAAATATGTTTATTTGGTATAATGATTACCTATTAATATTTTGTAAACCACACATTTCTTAGAAACAATCCACTGTCTGACAATTGCTGTTTTGTGAGTATTGAAAGATAAAAAAAAACATAGTAAAATTAAATCACTTTTCTTACTTACATCTTTTAAAAAAAAAAGAAGAAGAAAAAACTGACACAAAAATGAATTTTCCAACGAAAAGCTGTAGAGCAATAAATTTGGCTTCTACAAGTTACATTCCATTTCTCCTTGACCTCTTCCCCCCCCTGCACTCTTCCCCACATAAGAGCTCAGTAAGATATAAAAATTGCTAAAAAGTAAAAAAAAAGTTTTCAAACAAACTCCATTTCCTGTAGATCATTCCAGAAACAGAATATCAATTGCTGCTCTCAGGTGAACAATTTTTTTATTGGACCTTATAAAGTTTTACTGAACTGCTTCAAGTTTTACTTTACCTTTTCCATAAAACTCACAAAAACTGTTAGCTGCTAAAGTAATTTTTTTCTCTACCTGAAACTTTTTTATATGGCATATGAAAGGATGGCTATATGAAAGGATGGCTGTGCATTTGATAGAAAAGCTCCCAACAATTATGTTTCTTGGCCTAAGGTGTACAGGTGATATTTGTAATGATAGAGAGATAGGGGAGACCAGGATGGAGGAGGGGGGTGGGGGGGGACTCCAGTGTAAAATTCTTTCTCTTTTTGTTTCTGCAAAGTGTCTTGATAGTATCTGTGTGTGATAACTTGGAGTAGTTTTCCTAAATATCCAGGAAGTTAACTGTGAATACAGGTAATGTGAATTTTATTCCAGAGTTTTTATTTTCCTTTTCCATGTCTTTTTCTTTTCCGTTTGTTGTGTTTTCTTTTCTGGCTATATATTTTTTATCGTCATTAAATAGAAAGTTATTTCATTCATTTCCGTTCATTTGAGTTTTTGTTCTACTTTATAGGAAAATGTTGATTCCATTCAGATTTTTAGTTTTTATCTGTTTTTTTTTCCTCTCGGTTTTTTCATGAATTTTCGTGGCTGACAAAAGGGTTGTTTAAAATACCATTGATGCTGTTATTGTGATTTTTTTACCCAGTGATTTGAGTCTGTCCAAAGTTTTATTTTCAACTGAAAATCCTGCAACCAATATTGTGGAAATCGGTCAGCGTGTACAGATGTGTTTGCAGAGATAGCTTTGTACTTATAGGGCACAAATAAAAAACTCCTTACCACAAAGAGCAGAATGGAATTTGTATTCCTCTGAAAAGACATGAAAACAAACAATTAACATGCATGTACATTTCAGTAATTCATTGTAATAATAAAAAAAGTCAAGAATTTACAAAAAAACCTTTTCATGAATTTACAATAATTTTTAATTTCATGACATCACAAAGATGCTTATGTCAAGAATTTTACAAGATCTTTCAATTTCATGAATTTATATTAATTTTTATTTCATGAATTCACAAAGATATTTATATTTCAAGATTTCTTAAAATTATTATTACAGGGATTCTTAAAGTGTCTTATTTTATTAATTCACAAATAAATTGATATTATGAATTCACAAAAATTCTTATTTCATGAATTCTAAAATGTTCTTATTTCATGAATTCAAAAAGATTTGTATTTCATGAATTCACAAAGATTCTTATTTCATGAATTCACAAAGAGTCTTATTTCATGATTTCGCAAAGATTCTTATTTCATGTATTCACAAAGATTCTTATTTCATGAATTCACAAAGAGTCTTATTTCATGAATTCACAAAGATTCTTATTTCATGAATTCACAAAGATTCTTATTTCATGAATTCGCAAAGATTCTTATTTCATGATTTCACAAAGATTCTTATTTCATGAATTCACAAAGATTCTTATTTCATGAATTCACAAAGAGTCTTATTTCATCATTTCGCAAAGATTCTTATTTCATAATTTCGCAAAGATTCTTATTTCATAATTTCGCAAAGATTCTTATTTCAATATTTCGCAAAGATTCTTATTTCATGATTTCTCATAGGTTCTTATTTCATGAATTCAAAAATATTTCACAAGATTCATATATTATGATTTCACAAAGATTGTTATTTCACAAATTTATTCAATTCATAATAGGAAAAAAAATATATATCAATCTCATCCTCATGTATATATAGTTAGCTAACTTATGCAAAAACCAATGAAAGTACCTAGAACACAGAACCAAGATACAGGTATTTTATGTTTATAATAATAAGATATGAATTTTAATGCATTACTTTGTCAGGTTGTAGATAAGTATAATCATATGTAATATCAATCACTTGTCAAAATTTCTCATAATATCTGTTATCAGCATCTATATAACTGTTATTTCTTTGTTAGTGTTTTGTATAAAAAATAAAGAATTTTAGGGATATTATTTATCACACACCCGTGGCTCTTTTGCGACTCCATGGAAACGGTATTGCACGGCTGTGACATCATTTGCTTAATACAAACATAGCGTTAAGACGTCCTGAATGTTAGCGTTACACTATTCTAAGGCGCGTCAATAAAAAATGATTATTGTTCACTTTGAACAGTCTTTATTTTTGGAATGTGATAAATAGAATATTATATTCATGTAGGTTCATTACAGAATAATTGAAATCGTTGAATGCTCGCCAAAGGCTCGCACAATATAATTTTATTTATTTCGTTCAATAAATTCAGTATTGAACTTACACTCATTCAATATCCTATATATTGCACTTGAATTATTTATAAGAGAATTGTTTCTGTTTGAAATTTTGTTAAACATTTGCCGAAAATACATAAAACAGGTTTGAATAAGCAAGTAAGTAACGACTTTATTTAATGAGGCTAGCACATTTGGTTTCCTGATCTTCCATGTGGGCCAAGCGAATGGAGAATATTCTTATCCAACCCCTATAAAGTACTGTATGATGTTATAGTTAGTACACAACAATTTCCCAATTATTTTGCATACCTTACTCTGCCCCTTGTTGTTGAGAGGTGGCCTTTAAGGGTCGAGGTATCAGAACTGCAGCCACCGTTTATCCCTGTGTGCTAATGTGATTGTAAGAGGTGACTAAATAAGCACCAATAACTGGATTCTATGTGTCTTCTGGCTCAAGCAGGTGAGGTGGTTTTGACCGGTGGTATTGCTTTGAAGTTTTAGTTTCTGTTTCAGTGCCATGTGACTAAAATGTGTTGATGGGCCATAAACACAAACCTTTCTTTTTAGCCCCATGAAGGGTCACTTAAAGTGACTGCAAATTGATTTTTTGTTTTACTGACTTGAGGAAAGTTTTTGGTAAGATTTGATCTATATGCATTGCAAGCTTTGAATTGATAAGAACAGAATTAATTAAATGATTGTAAAATGAAATACCCAATTTGAGGAATTGCTTATTTATAGTGATCATCTCGATATTTTAGTTTTTGGTTGAATGCCATTTAAATGAGGACCTGTTCTCCAAATGAAATATTTACAAATCAAGGCACATTTTAAATCTATGATAATTGTATCTAATTGATGAGAAATAACTAATTTGTGAACAATTTAAACCAAATATTATTTCTAATTGCATCATTAGTTTTTCCCCAAGGGGGAATGGGGAGGAAGAATAATTTCTTATCATTTGTTACTAGAGGAACGCTAATAATAATGACTATAATTTAGTTATTTTATACATCCATTAGAAAATGAGAACAGTTTATCTATCTCTGAATAACATTTGTGCTGTCTCAGCATTGATAGATAATAGATACATATTAACTTATGTTTATAAAAAGAAATTGTTCAGATTTCTAAAATTACCTTAAACTCGGAAACTGAAACAATTTAGATAATAGGTTTCTAAATTTAGAATGTACCAAAATGACTGTGACTTTAGCAAACTTGGAACAAAGCAGAGGAATGAAGTATTTAAAAAATCTTTCAAATGACAATGGGAATTTTTTTCTGAGGCGTGAGTGGCAGAGTACTTTAGGAAACTGATTCTTATCAATTTGCCATTCCCTCACCTTGCATTTTAAATTCCTTAAGAATTTCAAATTCTGAAAATTCTCTCCCAAGACATGTAAAATGTTGGAGTATTTCACACTTAATTAACAAATATGCTGAGCTGTGGGTTCAAGTCCTACCAGGGACTTGGATTCTTTCATGTGAGGAAGCTATCCAGCAAGCTTATAGGACATCCATGGTTCTCACTTGAAATAATGCATTCAGATGCTTTTGGGGATTTCCTTCATTTATATAGTTAAGTTGGAAAGACGCCATATGACCTGTATAGTTTTTCATGTTGTGTAAAGGGGACATCAGTGATCAGGTGGTTAAGGTTGTTTACTTCAAGCTGCTTGCCTCTCACTTCTGTAGGTTTCGAATCCTGACAGGGACTTTGGATTCTTTTTTGGATTCTTTCATGTCAGCTAGCTTACTGAATGTCAGTGGTTAATTCCAATCTTATGCCTAAACAATGCACAAAAGGGCACTTGACACTTGAGGTCTTCCTCTAACAGTAAAGCTGTAAAGTCGCCATATGACGTTTAATTTGTTTGTGCGACGTAAAACCCAAGCAAATTAAAAAAAAATAAAATGCGTCGTAAAACAAAAATGCCACATAAAATCAGACTCCTCCCAAGAAAAAGAAAGTAAAAAAAAGAAAAGAAAATTAAATGAAAGTAATAAAAATAAGGTTTAATTGCAAGGAACCTAGGAAATAATTCAGCTTTGGATGAAATTCAAGAAAATGATTTGGAAATAAATCATTGTAAATTTGTTTATATGAAAACCTTTAAATGGTATGATTGGAAATTTTAGGTGAAGTAAATCAGTTAACTGATTTAATAGCATAAACTAGATATAACTAAATTAAAATGAATGTTCTAGCTTAAAGGACCTTGAAATGAATTTGGTGATAAATAAAAGGATATATGTTTAAAGAAAATTATGGAAGAGATCCATCGTTAATAAAGTTTTTTAATTAAGTGACCTTGAAATAAAAGATTTCAGTCGTTGGGGGAAGGACCATGGCATAAATCAATTTTATATTTTATTTAAAAGATTAAATGAATCAGTCATTAGAAATAAATGACCTTGAAGAAAATCACTTGTAAATTAAAGGATTTTGAAATTAATTTTTTTGTTAATAACGAAATAAAAAGTAACGAATCTTAACACATTCATCTTTAAAAAAAATTAGAGATAATTGTTCTGGACTGTTTTACTCTGTTTGCTTCTTCTTCTCATCTGAGTCTTTTTAGCCCGATTCAGGTAAAATTTACAAAGTAGTTTCATTTTGTATAGACCACATGCTGTCATGAATTTATTTGTAAAGTTGACAAAGAGCAAGACAGTAAGACAAACTTTATTTATTGGCGGTTACTGTTAACAGAAAAAAAAAAATTTGCCAGTGCATAAGCCAGACATGAACAAAAGAAAAAAAATGATAATAAGAAACAAAAGTAAACAAACACCTGTTAAGATGATAATACATAGTCTATACCAGTATATTAATTATCATGACACCTTAAATCAATTGTAAGTTAAAGTACATTGAAGTTATTAACAAGATCTGTTGGAAGTTTCTATAAATAAAGCTTTAATTTTGTTATTGAAGTCGAGCATCTTGAAATAGCAATTTACATTTAAGATGTGTGAATTAATTGACAGATATGAAAATAAAATCATATTATTAACTTATCATTATATGATAGTTACTAGTAATAATAAGACCTTGAAAGATATGACTCATGCCTTGATCACATATATATAAAAAACTATTTGGCTGATTTTCAACTTCTAACACTATGTTCGTGAGTTACTATGACCATAAATGTCATGCTACCTTCTTGTAGAAACCACAAGGTATAATTAGTGAGGAAAGTTTTATATCCTCATTGTATATCTACTGTGCACACACTATAAATTTAAAACATTCCAGACTAGAACATATTATACTTTCTGTGTGTTATTTCATGTTGTGATTTATGTTGTCTGAAACAACTTTTGGAACCAAATCAATTCTTCCATTCTGCTTAATTACTATGTAATTATAAGTTTTCATGTGCCAGGAAAGTAGTTGGCAATCTTATGAAACTAAATTGTTTCAATTATATATTTAAAAAAAAAAGGATTTTTTTCCGTGTCATTGTGATATACATCATGTCATGCTTTCCAGGACTCTGTTCTATAGACTTCATCTTTTGTGTAGACCAGCACTCTAATCCTATAATGCCCACCTCTTCTGTAGACCAACCCCCTGTTTTATGGCCCCAATCTTATAGACCAGCACACTGTTATATGGCTCCCATCTCTTTTGTAGACCAGCACACTGTTATATGGCTCTCATCTCTTTTGTAGACCAGCACACTGTTATATGGCTCTCATCTCTTTTGTAGACCAGCATACTGTTATATGGCTCTCATCTCTTGTAGACCAGCACACTGATCTTACAACCTTCATCTCTTATGTTGGTGACATATTCATAGAGACAAAAACTTGATTGGTTTAGTTCATTAAAGTTAAAACCATATAATTTTAAAACATCAGAAATTTTCAATGTAATTTTTAAGCACAAAAATACAAAAGAAAAGATACTTCTTGTTTTAAACAACAAAAAAAAAGTGGCAACCTAATTGACATTTTGATATGTTATATTTATATAACATTACTTGGCATTGCTTAGAAGTAATGCTGAGTTCAGAATATAAAAACACTGTAGTCTTGCATTCAGAGCATCTTTTGTCATTAGTTAGTCATATTAATTTGTCCTTTAATGATGACAGAAATAATTGACAATAATGCTGAACAAGTATTTTGTATAATGAATTTCATCTCCCACCACTGTTATTGTTACATAGATTACATTTTTAGTAGTCAAGTATGCAAGACAATATTTATGGCAAAGCTAGCAATGTACCAAATATACCTTCAACCAAAATGATCTGCTAAATTGTTTTACCCTTTTCCTCTTTACCACACTAAATATTTGAAATGAAATTGTCCATCTTTTAATATGGAGAAAACCATTTTTCAAGTCAGTGGATCTAAAAGCAACAAAACCAAAACCATGCTTAATATGAACTTGTCCATCTTTCAATATGGGTATAACCGTTCATCATTTTAAGTGAAAATTTCAAAATATGATCTTGCTGAATAGGGAACCATAATTAAATGGCAGGAAAGTTGCAAAGGAAAAAATATATTTTGCCGCCTACGTGCAAAGGCTAAAAGCAACAAAATGATATCTAAAGCTCAAACATTTTCCAAAAATATACCCTTATAATGTATGATATGACATCAACTGTTACAAAGGTTGCAGACATTGTTTAACGATGTACTGTAAGCAGTTCAACCTTTATATTTAAGTACAGTATATATAAGAAAATATCCAGACTGAGTTCTCAGTTATTACTTATCAGACTTCAATTGAGGTGTCAGATTTTGACAGATTTAAAAGATTTCTGCCTATTTTCCTGTCCTATGTATTTGCATATTTTATAAGCCCATCAATTTTGCTTCTTTAATCAAGTCCCTGTGCATGTGATTGATGCCTTTGTGTCCCATGTGCACGAAAGTCGCTCACTTACCCATTCTCTGCAGGCATTCTGCTGTGCGGAATTATGCAAATTAAGTGAATTTACAATTCAAAGTATTGGGATTCATTTTAAAAGTGTTTACTCTCAAAATTTGACTGCTAATGAGAAGTTTTCAGAGAAATTTATCTTGAAAAAGTTGGTTTCTGATAAAAGGAATGTAACTTGTATGTAAATATAGAGGTAGATACAGTTGTTCTGCGCAGGGCTTTATGTTATGGTTATTGCGCTAAACTTAAAGCAAACTTGGTGTTAAAAATGTGTCTGTATGATTAAATTTAAAGAAAATACAACAGTGGTATATATATTACTCACTTTAGTTTGTTCTTAGTGTTTTAAAATCCTTGTAAAAAGATTTCAGATCTTGTTATAAAGATACTTATGTGAAATTTTGATACAATTTTATGTCAAATGTACATGTTTTTGTTTGAAAGTTTGAAACCTTTGAGCTGTCTCCAGTGGAAATGACTGTTAATTGTTTTCGCACAGTAATTTATTACTGACAACTAGAATATTATTACTGACAGACTCAGGTATAAGTGAAACATTTGCTGACAATATGTTATCTTTACAAAATTTGCCCCTTTTGCTGACAACATGATATCTTTATAAATTTGCCCCCTATTGCTGACAACATGTTATCTTAACAAATTTGCCCCCTATTGCTGACAACATGTTATTTTGACAAAATTGCCCCCTATTGCTGACAACATGTTATCTTAACAAATTTGCCCCCTATTGCTGACAACATGTTATCTTAACAAATTTGCCCCCTATTGCTGACAACATGTTATCTTAACAAATTTGCCCCCTATTACTGACAACATGTTATTTTGACAAAATTGCCCCCTAATGCTGACAACATGTTATCTTAACAAATTTGCCCCCTATTGCTGACAACATGTTATTTTGACAAAATTTGCCCCTTTTGCTGACAACATGTTATCTTGATAAAATTTATTCACTATTGCTGACAACATGATTGTTTTCTTCACAAAATTTACCTTCATTGCTGACAACATGTTATCTTCAGAAACTTTACTTTTATTTTTCTTGAGAATTTCTTAAAATGTACTTTTATTTATCTTGAAAATTTCTTAAGATGGCAGCTGGCAAGTCCATTATAGAAATTCAGCATTTAAAGAGCTAAATGAAGATGTAAAATGTTTCAAAAATAAGCAAAAAATCAAACTCAAACACCTTTTTGCAAAGATATATATAATTTTACAATTTATAACACAGAATGGTTTTTCCTTCATTAACCATTGTAATGTTTTCACGAGTTGTAAGAAAAAAAAGAGAATTCAACGCTTCATTTGTTAAAAAGAAGTAGGCATGTTGGAAAATGAATCAAGTTAATGATTGAAAAAACTAATTCCTCGGAAAAAAAAACTGATTCCTCGGAAAAAAAAAACCTGATTCCTCGGAAAAAAAAAACAAAAAACTAATTCAACAGAAAAGCTTCATTTGAATAGTGGAGCAAAGGTCTAAAAACAAACAACACCCAGGGAGCAAAAATTCCATAAATTATCTGGCATTTAGAAGTTCTGGAATGGTAATGTAATAAGATTCTTACATAGATGCTGTAAAAAGTAATAAATTACAGGGAAAAGTTTGTAAATCAAGAAAAGATTTGAAACTCAACTTTGCTACTTTGAAACTGACTAAAGATGCATTTTGGCTGAAAAGTAGGCAGATATACTAGTTTTCTTATGTGAAAAAGTTTGTGATGCATGCGTTTCTTTCATAAACTTCTTTAAAAGTTTGTTCTTAGCTCAACTATCTGAAGAATAGGGAGAGCCATTGTACTTACCTCTGCATTGGCCTCACTGTCACACTTAGGTTAAGTTTTTGTGTGCAAGTTGTATTATCCAAAGCTTCTGTAGGGAATGGGTTATAATTTTCACACCACTTAAATTTTAAGATAAAAAGGTTTTCATGTAAAAGGGCCCAAAATGTAACATGGATTCGGCAGAATATTGGGCCCCTTTTAGAACAAAAAAGGGGGGCCCGGGTAATAGTAACAGAAAGGAAACAAATAATAATGTTTTTGTGTAAGAACTATAATACTGATTGATTTTTATGCCCCCACAATGTGGGAGCATATAGCGTTGCACTTGTCCATCCGTCCGTCATTCCGTCAGTCAGTCCGTCCGTACGTCCGGAAATCTTGTGAACGCAACTCCTCTTAAACCGGATGGCAGATTTTGCTTAAACTTACAGGGATGAACAACCTTAATGTGTAGATGGTAGTAAAGGAAGGAATTTTTGCTGCGACCAAATTTAACAGAATTATGGCCCTTTGTTGATTTTTTCACTAGATACTATGTAGAAATTTTGTGAACGCATCTCCTCTTAAAACCTGATGGCAGATTTTGGCTTAAACTTACAGGGATGAACAACCTTAATGTGTAGATGGTAGTAAAGGAAGGAATTTTCGCTGCGACCAAATTTTAACAGAATTATGGCCCTTTGTTGATTTTTTCACTATATACTATGTAGAAATTTTGTGAACGCAACTCCTCTTAAACCGGATGGCAGATTTTGCTTAAACTTACAGGGATGAACAACCTTAATGTGTAGAAGGTAGTAAAGAAAGGAAGTTTTGCTACAACCAAATTTAACAGAATTATGGCCCTTTTTTGATTTTTTCATTATATACTATGTAGAAATTTTGTGAACGCAACTCCTCTTAAACCGGATGGCAGATTTTGCTTAAACTTCCAGGGATTAACAACCTTAATGTGTAGATGGTAGTAAAGAAGGAATTTTTGCTGCGACCCAAATTTAACAGAATTATGGCCCTTTGTTGATTTTTAGTTTTCAACTTGTGCAACATGTAGTCACAAAAAATATTTGACCTAGAGTCATAAGATTGACAGAACAGTGGCGTGTGGGGGCATCCGTGTCCTATGGACACATTTCTAGTTATAGTTAAAAACAACTTTCTGCATAGATTTATTTAAATTTTGATTTTAAAATAAGAATGATCTTTAATATATCATTTCAGTTGACAAAAGACATATTGAGGTACCAGTGCAAGTAAAGACAAGGTCAGAAGTTGACCTTGAACTCTTACATGACCTGTATGTGACCCCTGGATCTCCTGTGGCATTTGACCTTCACATTAACAGCAAGGTGAGTTTTTTAGAAAAATGTTGTTGGGCATCAGATATTTAGCATGTGTTTGATAAGATTGCTAGTAATAGATATATAATAAAATTTGTTCTGTTTTGCACTAAATGAATTGGAAAAGGTCATAGTCTTACAAGATTTAGTGTCTTTATATTTAACAGCCTTCTTCACCGCTGTGGGTTCGAATCCCGACAGGGACCTTTGAGTCTTTCATTTCAGGAATCTATCCAGTTAGCTTACAGAACTTCGATGGTTTTACTTGGGTGCCTGAAATAATGTACAGAGGGGCACCTGAGGTCTTCCTCCACCAGTAAAGCTGGAAAGTTGTCATATGACCTTTTCTGTGTTGGTGCGATGTAAAACCCAACCAAAATGGAAGAAAAAAATGGCCCAAAAAAAAACTTGCAAGAGGTGGATTTTAGCACAGGTGTATCAGTATTTCTTAACGGTAGATGGAATTAGGAGAGTTTGGATTTCATTGGTATACAGTAATTAGAGACATGGTTGTTAAGGGACCTGTTAGTACTGACAGATAGACTTATTTTAATTGACAGGTTAGTGCTGTAATACTCCCTCCAATAATCATACACTCACCATTAGTTCGATTTTTCTGATATATTTTTAGCTGTCTGATAAAAAAAAAACAAAACAATCTATATACCAGTAAAGTGATGATGAAGTTTGGATAACCAAGGAAATTATATTATTTCTGGGGAATATTCTATTCTGTTTAAATTACATTATATTTTGATAAAATACAGTATGTACAAGAGTACCTTATCTGGAATTAGAATATACATACTCAAGTAGATTTTGCCAGACCAGGTTCTCACTGAGGCTCAGATTCCCCAATATTATTTGCTTAAGTAAGAGAGCAAATAATTTCCCTTTGCAAAGAGATTTTTTAGGGAAAGGGCTTTAAGGAAATATAAATGTATTAGAAAAGCAAGGAAAAAATAATTGTCACTTTGTACCACTTACAAAATTGTATCTCCCAATTTAAGGTAATTTCAGTAATCTGCATCATTCTGTATGTTTTAGTGTTTTTCAGTTTTAACCCATACACCTTGTATTTGCATGATCGCCTTGCCCTGCTTTGCATTTGGATGTGTCCATTGTCTGTTTAAAGGGTTTTCAGCATGAAAGTACTGAAATTGACCAGGTAACAAAATAGAGTCTGGTCTGAAAGGTCAAGGCTGTTTTTGTGAACAGTTTTACAACTGCAGTGATGTTGGTAGTTTTCACTCTGGATCACTGCAGTAAGCCACATTGAATTTACCAGAACACAGTTCCTTGGCAGGCTGTCAAGCAGTTTACCAGTACTAGTTGCCTTAACTTTGGCAAGGAACTGATAACTTCTGTACTTATACAGAATAGAGGTACAGTGCTAATGACCAGTCACAACAAAAAGGACCTCTTTGCCCGGGGAAAATTGAACCTTTGGTTGCTGGTTTTCCCACGTAAACATAAACCCCTATTTAGCAAAGGGGGGAACAGTTTTTTTTAAAACTCCCAATAAATTTTTGGGAAAGGGTGGGGGGCTTTTTACGGGCCCTGCAGCAAAAGGGGCCTTTTGGTTTCCAGGGGTAATTTTTCAAGGGGTGTAACTTTTTTAAAAGACCAAAAAAGTTTCCCATCTTGGTTTAGTCTTACTGTTCCCTTTAGTCCCTTAGGGGCCCCTGGAGATTTTGCAAATTATTTTAGCTTTTTTTTGTGAAAAAACTTCGGGCCTTTTTGTGACGGGTAAATTTCTTCCCAATTTCTTTTTTCCTTTTGAACATTTTTCGGGCCTTTTTACTATAAAAATTCCCCCAGACTGGAAATTTTAAAGAAAAAGTAGCAATTTAAAAAGGGTTTTAAGGGTCCGTCTATTTTTAAGGAAATAAAAGATTTACATTTTATTTTATATATGTTTTATATTATATAATAAGTTTTTTGTTACTTTTAGTTTCAGATTATGAAATGCTGATTAGAAATATAACCCTGTAGGTCTGTTTTAAAAGTGTTACTAAATCAGAAGTATATTTAAAAAAAATTGTTATATTACAAGCTATTAAGGTGGTACATGACCAAATGTTTTGTACATAAAGATTTGCAGCATCTGATATGTGAAACTTGTTTAAAAACATGTCAAAATGGTTTATTGTTGTTGTTTGTTTTTTTTCTGTCATTTGTGTGTTTGCTTTTGTATGTTTTTGCATGTCTTATATTTGTTCTTGATTGTGTCTGGATACTGTTCTATATACAAGTTCTTGTTTTTCAATGCAAGCACCCATGTTTGTTTGTGTTTAGTCTATTATGTTTATGTTTGCTTATATTTGTAATGTTATATTACTTTGTCTTTTTCTATTGTTTGTTTCTGGTTCTTCATATTTGTTGATTGTTCTGGATAAGTATTGTTAGTTCATGTTTCTCTTGTTTGTCCCTATAAAATCTTGATTGCCCCAGTTATCTCATGAGTATTCCTTTTAATTTTCATTTGTTTCTTGACTGTTCCTGTTTACTTTAAATTTTTCCAGCTGATCTGTGTTTGTTCCTGTTTACTCTTTATTGATCTGGTTTACTCTTGTTTGTTCCTGTTTACTCTGGTTTGGTCCTGTTTACTCTTCATTGTTCCTGTTTACTTGTGTCTTCTCTTGTTTGTTCCTATTCACTTTTCATTATTCCTGCAAACTCTTGTTTGGTCCTCTACTCTTCATTGTTCCTGTTTACTTGTGTCTTCTCTTGTTTGTTACAGTTAACTCTTTATTGTTTTGGTTTACTCTTGTTTGTTTCTGTTAACTCAGCATTGTTCCTGTTTACTTGTGTCTTCTCTTGTTTGTTACAGTTAACTTAAATGTTTGTTCCTGTTCACTTTTCATTGTTCCTGCACACTCTTCTTTGTACCTGATTACTCTTGACTCTTCCTGTTTACTCTTGATTCTTCCTGTTTTCTCGTGATTCTTCCTGTTTACTCTTGTAAACCATTGGATGTTCCTGTTAACTTTTGTTGGATCCTTTTAACTTTTGTTTGTTACAGTTAATTCTTGTTTTCGCCAGTTCTTAATTGTTCATGTTATCTCTTGTTTGATCCTATTATCTCTCTGTTCCTGTTCACTCTTGTTTGTTCCTGTTCCTTCTTGAATGTTTCTGTTAGCTCTTGTTTGTTCCTGTTATCTCTTGTTTGTTCCTGTTATCTCTTGTTTGTTCCTGTTAACTCTTGAACGTTCCTGTTCACTCTTGTTTGTTTCTGTTCACTCTTGAATGTTCCTGTTAACTCTTGAATGTTCCTGTTAGCTCTTGTTTGTTCCTGTTAACTCTTAAATTTTCCTGTTAGCTCTTTATTTGTTCCTGTTAACTCTTGAATGTTCCTGTTAGCTCTTGTTTGTTTCTGTTAACTCTTGAATGTTTCTGTTAGCTCTTGTTTGTTGTTCACTTTTGAATGTTCTTTTCTTGTTTGATTCTGTAAGCTCTTGTTTATTCCTGTTAGCCTTTGTTTGTTCCTGTTAACACTTGAATGTTTTTGTTAGCTCTTGTTTGTTGTTGTTAACTTTGTATGTGTGTCTCTTGTTTGTTCAATGTTTAACTTCACTTCATGAAATTCAGTATTTTCAGCTTTCTATGTATAGTTATTATATATTCATGATCATGGAGTGATATGATTTGAAAAGTGTAATTCCGAAGTTGAATTAATTTCATGAAATTGAATTCGTGAAGTTGAAATCGTGAATTTGTGAAGATGAAATTGGGAATTCATGAAGATGAAATTGGGAATTCATGAAGATGAAATTGGGAATTCATGAAGATGAAATTGGGAATTCATGAAGTTGAAATGTCCCACCGGTCTTACATGCTAACTTGCTGTATTGTTATCTGTGTATTATTTATTAAATTGATATTGAATTTAATTTAGTTTAATTTACAGTAACAATGGACAGTTTCAAAATGTAAAGTTAGAACTAGAAAGGTGAAGTAAATTCATATATGCAAATTAGATATGGAAACCACGAGGAGCTTACATCTTTCTGTTGACGTCTGCTATTGGCATCCTTGTTGACTATAATATTTAAATGCATGGATCGCCCACGTAGATGCCTAATGCACGTGATTGTTATAGATCATTTATTTCACTTCAAAGACCATAGTTCTTACGTAAAACCTCGTAACTTTCTATATAAACAATTATATTTACAGGAAGTTTGTACAGTGATTTCCCCGAGTCATTGACTTCATGGTGCTGTGGTAATAAAAACTTTCCCTATCTATGCGTAACATTCTAGCAGTTATTTCAGTACATACTGTTTTGCAAGTTGCAGCAAAATATTATAATGAAAAAATATAACTGTAAGAATGTGTTGTACATTTAAGAATTAAATGTTCCACAGCATTTTAAAATGTTTCTGACATATGGAAAAGCTATTTTCATTCCATTAAAGTTTTATTGCTAAGAATATCAGTTACGTTTAATGCCTTCACCATGCTGGATTTATATAATGGACTTGTCTTGCTTTAAATTTTGGAACAGTTGTAAATTGTGTAGGTGTGCTGTAAAAACCAAACAAAATGAACAAAAAATCATGATCCTATATTAACCTGCACAGATAGGCTCTACATTTATTCCATAAAAAAATTATTTTACTTTTTAAGTTCTTTTATTAGAATGAACGCTTTATCCTTAAAGGACCGCCTCTGTGGTCGAGGGGTTAGAGTCGATGACTTCTAATCCAGTTACCTCTCTGGCGTGGGTTCGAACCCCGGGAGATGCTTTGGTAGTTTAGCGCGGAGGGAGGTAGTCTAGTACTGGTGTAACTCTCCAGGAACGATTGTTAGGAAACTACCCGCCTATATGACTGAAATACTGTTGGAAAAAGGCGTAAAATGAAACAAACAAACAAACAAATTATCCTTAAAGGAACTCCACTGTGGTCAAAAAGCCTAAAAAACGTAAAATTTAAATTTCTTACATAGACCATCTTTGGCAGATAGAACTTAAAGATATGCAAAAGATATTTAAAAAATATATT